TCCCTGAATCCCTTCATAAATGTTAGCTTGCTCACCCTACAACAGTACGTTAAGTCTTAAAAATCATTTGTCTCCATTCACTCTATCTAACACGCTCACTCATGCTTGCTGGAAGTCCAAGCCCCTCACTCACAAAACCTCCTTTACCCCCTTATATATCCATAATCTGTTTGTTACATTGGGGTCCATTAACCCTGTCATGGTCTGTGCCATAGTACTACAGGTTTGAACTTAGGGTCCGTGCTGTAGTTCTGTGCCTAAATTCTGTTAGCTGCAAATTTAGCACCAGAAGGCTGGTAGGCCTACATATGAGAGAATGCGTTTGTGTGGTCAGTGTGCTCCAGTGGGGCTCCTGCACTGCATTGTGGGAACGCCATCTCAGTACGCTTTGTTCACCATTCCTCGCTGTCAGAAAAACCTCACTCCTCAGTGAAATGGAAATCTCTGCCCAAGTGATAGTTCTGACAGTGAGGAATGTGGAAGCAAAGATGAATTCAATGGTTTTGAACAGTTAGTAACTGAAAGCAACAATCAAGATGCTGGAAATAGTGATGAAAACCCCAATAACACTCAACCACCCACTTCTAGGGCTGGTCTGTCTAGTTCACATTCAGTTTTGCAACAGGGAGTACTCCGGAATGCACTCCGTCCCACTGGAATAGCATACATTCCGAAGTACATTCTGGAGTACTTCCTGTTGCCCTACACCAGCAACAGTCATTGAAAGTGATGATAATGTGGCTACAGTTGGGATGGATATTCGACTGTATGCAGCAGTAGGTGGTGCCACGCAGGATGCAGTTCCAGCAGCAGCTGAGACTGGGAGTCATGACCGTCACTCAACAAGTCAATGAGCCAGAGCATTCTCAACCACTCACACACCACAGTAACAGCTTGCAGAACCCAACTATAACCACAGTACCCACCACCAGACTGCATCTGGGACTGGCAGCAACATACAAATTTTGTGTCCAATCCCCCTCAATTTGATGACACAGTGTAATCTTGCCATATTGTATCTTTGGGAACACTGCAAGTGAACTTGAATTTTTTGAACTCTTTTTTGATCAACTCTCTGATGGAAATTATTGTTAGGAAAAGTAACAGATACTTTGATTACACCATGGCAGACAATGGTTTCACTAGTCATGACTACACTGGCAGAAGGAGACAACTGTGGCTGAGATGTTTTCGTGTTTTGCCACAATAATGCTTATGCCACATGTGTATAAGCATAATATCAAATCATACTGGTCCACAGATCGCCTAGTTTCTACCCCAGCCTTCAGTGATATTATCCCAGTCAGCAGATTTATCCTACCATTACGTATAGTACACTTCTCAGACAAAACAAGGCCTGACAGAAATGACAGGATATACAAGATTAGGAATGCGTTTATGTATCTGAAACAGAAGTTCAGTATGTATTTTTATCCTGGCATTCAAGCAGTATATATCAAGCAAGAGGAAATGCTTTGATATCAAGCTGTTTGTGCTTTGTGATTGTGAAAGTGGTCTTGTATTGGATGTAATTGTGTACACAAGAAGTAAAACACTGGAAGATACCAGAAAGTTATTGCGTATCTCTGGTGATGTGGTGAGAACAATGATGGAACCATATCACAGTAAGGGGCATACATTATATGCTGATAACTAGTACACAAGCCCCTTAGTGATTTCCTGCATGTGAACATGACAAACGTGTGTGGTACAGGTTCAGTGCAGGCATTTGTAGTGGTGAGGTGTAGGTGTTTGCTGCTAATGACATCATGACATTATGGTGGCATGACAAATGAGATGTCATATTGCTGACATCATTCCCCAGAACAAAATGAAAGACACTGGCAAGGTGGATAGAGAGACGATGAACCTATTGTGAAACCTGGTAGACAAATGTGACATACAGATTGGGTTTGCTGATTGTGTTCACAAGAGTTATAAGTGGTACATGAAACTCTTCTTCCATCACCTGGACATTTCCATACTCAGTGCTTATAATATGTACTGGATGAAAACAGACCACCGTATGCTGAATTTTGTTCATCTGTCATCAGGCAAATAATAATCAAGTACCAGGTCACAACATCTGCAATACAAAACTAGCCATGAACTGATCACCAAATACCCTCTCATTGGAGGCATGGTGATCACTTCTTAGTACCACTTCCTCCTCCTAAGAATAAATGGTCCCAGAAGAGATATTTTGTCCATGTACATACAACAAAATGCCCACAAAGACTCAGAAATATTTGTTAAATGTGCGAGGAGTGTAAAACACCACTGTGCATGACACCATGTTTCAGAGAGTTCTGCAAATTGCAATAGTTCTAGGAACAAGTCCAGTGACTGTGTATATGTGTATATATTTAATAGAAGAATAGTAATTTGAAACATTTTTACCTGTTTGTTTCTGTAAACAAGTTTTGTAAACAATGTAATGATGACAATATTAGTGTGGTTATTGTGTTGCATACGAGTGGGTATATATACATTGTGCATTAGAAAAACAGACAAAAAAAAAAAATGTAGAGTGCATGGCAGTCGCTGATGTTGTCATCAGCCGGTCATTTACTTTCTATTTCATGCCTCTGTATCTCAATAAGTACTGATGGGATTTTTTTTGTTTCATTACCTTTATTTAACCCTTTGACTGTTTTCGACGTATAAATACGTCTTACGAGCCAATGTTTCTGACGTATATATACTCAATAATTCTAGCGGCTTCAAATCAAGTGGGAGAAAGCTGGTAGGCCCACATGTGAGAGAATGGGTCTGTGTGGTCAGTGTGCACCACATAAAAAAAATCCTGCAGCACACATTGCGTAATGAGAAAAAAAAAAACTGATCGTTTTTTTGGAATAAAACGCCGACTTTGAGGTGTATTTTCGTATAGTATTTATCGTTGTATTCGCGTTTTCATGGTCTTAGTTGATAAAATGGAAAACATATTACAGAAATAGAGATGATTTTCATTACTTTTACGATGAAAACGACCTTGAAACTGAGCTCAAAGTAGCGGAAATGTTCGATTTTTACCAATGTTCAAGAGTAAATAAATCACCACCACACGTCCAATACACGTCAACTGGGGAGTCTAATATTCTTTCACTAGTGCACTGATATTATTTATACCATTTTTACAATAATGCAGTCGTCTGCATAACAGTAAATTTTGTATTTTTTTGTAGAATAAAAAATCAAAATAGAAAGCAATAATAATATAAGAGGGGCCTAGAGATGTGACTAATGAACAGAGCATATGTTATTTTAGTGCCACGAATGTCTACCTTGTTTATTCTGGACCCTATTTTGAAATTGGCATCTTTTTTATTTTGCGTGAAAATTGGCCAAATTGCCAATTTCTGACCACCATATTGGGTAGTCCAAATTAGTAAATGGGAGGTTTCTTGTGCTCAGCTGATAGATAAAATGGAGTTCTAAAGAAATAGCTATGAGTTTGGTCAACTGGAACAATGGAATTGGCTGAAAATTGGGCTCAAAGTCGGCGAAATCGCCGATACGCACATGTCGCCGAGACCGCTAACTTCGCGGGAGCATAATTCCATGAGTTTTCGACCAAATTTCGAACTTTTGGTGTCATTACCATCGGGAAAAGATTCTCTATCATTTCATAAGAAAAAATAATTTTTTTTTTTTTTTCAAAAATTGAGCGACATAGAATGACAGTTTCAGAGAGGGGCCTGAAACAGTCAAAGGGTTAAATATACTCTTGTAATCTATAAGACTTTTTTTTTTTAAATTCTTGGACCCTGAGAGCAATTTTCAGATCAGAGGTCTGGACTCTGAAGGATTAAATTGATGTTTATTAACCCTTTGAGGGTCGACAGGCCCTCTCCGAAACTCGTTCTCAGGGTCGGCCAAATTTAAAAAAAAAAAAAATTATTTTCTCTTATGAAAAGATAGAGAATCTTTTTCCGATCATAACGACACCAAAAGTTTGAAATTTGATAGAAAACTTACGGAATTACGCTCTCGCAAAGTTAGCGGTCTCGGCGATGTTTACGGATCGGCGATTTTGCCCACTTTGAGCCCCATTTTCGGCCAATTTCACTGTACTAGTCGACAAAAAAACATGAATATTTCGCTTAGAACTCCCTTTTTTCTATCGAATGGGTGCAAGAAACACCCATTTATAAATTCAACTATCCAGTACAGTGGTCAGAATTTAGCAATTTTGCCAATTTCACACAAATTTCAAAAGATGCCAATTTCGGAATAGGGTCCAGAATAAACAAGAAAGACATTCCTGGCACTAAAAAGACATTTCCTCTAGTCATTAGTCACGTCTCAAGGCCCCTCTTATATTCTTTTGCTTTCCACTTTGAATTTTTATTCTCACAAAAAATATAAGATTTACTGTATGCAGACTACTGCATTAGTGTAAAAAATGGTATAAATATTATTGGTGCACTTGTGAAAGAATATTAGACTCAACCAGTTGACGTGTATTGCACGCTTGGCACGATTTGTTTACTTTTGAAGTTTGGTAAAAATCGAACATTTCTGCTACTTTGAGCTCAATTTCAAGGCACCTTTCATTGTAAAACCAGTCAAAATCATCTCAATTTCAGTAATATGTCTTCCATTCTATAAAATGAGACCAAGAAAAACTAGAATACAACAATAAATACTATACGAAAATACACTGCAAAGTCGCTGATTTATTAAAAAAAAATGGAAAAAGTTTTTTTTTTCTCATTATGCACCGTGTGCTGCAGGATTTTTTTTAGACTGTGCACACTGACCACATAGACCCATTCTTTCATATGAAGGCCTACCAGCTTTCTCCCACTAGATTTGAGGTCGCTAGAATTTATGAGTACTAGTACGTCAAAAACCCCTACGCGTAAGACGTACTAGTACGACGAAAACCCTCAAAGGGTTAAACTGAGGTTCATTAATAAATTGAGGTCCATTAAGTAGTGGGTTTCTAATTATCTTTGCAAATAAATGTTTGATTCTGACCTTTTATTTTTCAGATGGTCAGGTATCCTTAGATCATCCATCTGCTGGTCTCCCAAATGGCATGACTGAACAAGCTAATTTAAATGAACTGGATTCTTACATGGAAATGTTATATGAAGACATGGCTGAGAAAGTGCGTGGAGCGTCTCTTATTCTTCAACTTGCCAGGAACCCGGATTATCTGGAAGAACTCTGTCAGAATGGTAAATTAAGTGACACATGTTTACAAGCTTAGGTAGTAGGTTGGTAGACAGCAACCACACAGGGAAGTACTACCGTCCTGCCAGATGACTGTGAAACAGAAACCTGTAACTGTTTTGCATGATGGTAGGATTGCTGGTTTTCTTTTTCTGTCTCATAAACACGCTAGATAACAGGGATATCTTGCTACTCCAACTTACACTTTGGTCACACTTCACAGACATGCACATACATATATATATACATACATCTAGGTTTTTCTCCTTTTTCTACATAACTCTTGTTCTTCTTTATTTCTTCTATTGTCCATGGGGAAGTGGAAAAGAATCTTTCCTCCGTAAGCCATGCGTGTCGTATGAGGCGACTAAAATGCCGGGACCAATGGGCTAGTAACCCCTTCTGTAGACATTTACTAAAAAAAAGAAAAGAAGAAAAACTTTATAAAACTGGGATGCTTGAATGTGCGTGGATGTAGTGCGGATGACAAGAAACAGATGATTGCTGATGTTATGAATGAAAAGAAGTTGGGATGTCCTGGCCCTAAGCGAAACAAAGCTGAAGGGGGTAGGGGAGTTTCAGTGGGGGAAATAAATAGGATTAAATCTGGAGTATCTGAGAGAGTTAGAGCAAAGAAGGGGGAGCAGAAATGTTGAATGATCAGTTATGGAAGAGAAAAAGAGAATATGAATGTGTAAATGCAAAAATTAGTGGATTAAAGTAAAGGTTGGATGCGAAAAGTGGGTCATAATAAGCGTGTAAAGCACCTGGAGAAGAGAGGAATGCAGAGGAGAGAGAGGAGATTTTTGGGGGATGTTAAGTGAATGTATAGGAGCCTTTGAACCAAGTGAGAGAGTAATTATGGAGGGGACCTGAATGCTAAAGTAGGAGAAACTTTTAGAGAGGGTGTGGTAGGTAAGTTTGCGGTGCCAGGTGTAAATGATAATGGGAGCCCTTGATTGAACTTTGTATAGAAAGGGGTTTAGTTATAGGTAATACATATTTTTAAAAAAAAGAGGATAAATAAGTATACAAGATATGATGTAGGGCGAAATGACAGTAGTTTGTTGGATTATGTATTGGTAGATAAAAGACTGTTGAGTAGACTTCAGGATGTACATGTTTATAGAGGGGCCACAGATATATCAGATCACTTTCTAGTTGTAGCTACACTGAGAGTAAAAGATAGATGGGGTACAAGGAGAATAGAAAACATCAGGGAAGAGAGAGGTGAAGGTTTATAAACTAAAAGAGGAGGCAGTTAGGGAAGATATAAACAGCTATTGGAGGATAGATGGGCTAATGAGAGCATAGGCAATGGGGTCGAAGAGGTATGGGGTTACCTGGATACCTGGATACCTGGAGGTTATTCCGGGGATCAACGCCCCCGCGGCCCGGTCCATGACCAGGCCTCCCGATGGATCAGGGGCCCGATCAAATAGGCTGTTACTGCTGGCCGCACGCATCCAACGTACGAGCCACAGCCCGGCTGATCCGGCACTGACTTTAGGTATCTGTCCAGCTCTCTCTTGAAGGCAGCCAGGGGTTTATTGGCAATTCCCCTAATGCTTGATGGGAGGCTGTTGAACAGTTTTGGGCCCCGGACACTTATGGTGTTTTCTCTTAGTGTACCAATGACGCCCCTACTTTTATTGGGGGCATTTTGGGGTTTAGGTTTAAAAATGTAGTGTTTAGAGTGTTCCAGCAGAAGTTTGTGGTTACAGAAAGTGGGTTCGGGAGGGAAAGGAGCGATTGGTGGAATGATGATGTAAAGAGAGTATAAGGAGAAAAAGTTAGCATATGAGAAGTTTTTACAAAGTAGAAGTGATGCAAGGGGGGAAGAGTATATGGAAAAAAGAGAGAGTTAAGAGAGTGGTGAAGCAATGTAAAAAGAGAGAAATGAAGAGTTTGGGGGAGATGTTTATCAACAAATTTTGTTGAAAATAAGAAAAAGTTTTTGAGTGAGATTAACAAGTTAAGGAAGCCTAGAGAACAAATGGATTTGTCAGTTAAAAATAGGAAGGTAGTTATTAAATGGAGAGTTAGAGGTATTGGGAAGATGGAGGGAATATTTTGAGGAATTGTTAAATGTTGATGAAGATAGGGGAAACTGTGATTTTGTGTTTTTCCTGGATTTACCTGGAGAGAGTTTTCCGGGGGTCAACGCCCCGCGGCCCGGTCGTGTATAGGGCAAGGAGGAAAAAACATCTTGTAGGAGTGAGGAAGAGCCAGTTGTGAGTGTGGGGGAATTTTTTGAGGCGTAGGTAAAATGAAAGGGGTAAGGCAGCCAGGAATTTATGGGATAAAGATAGAAATTTAAAAGCAGGTGGGGATATAGTTTTGGAGTGGTTGGTGCAATTATTTAATAAATGTATGGAAGAGGGGAAGGTACCTAGGGATTGGCAGAGAGCATGCATAGTTCCTTTGTATAAAGGCAAAGGGGACAAAAGAGAGTGCAAAAATTATAGGGGATAAGTCTGTTGAGTATACCTGGTAAAGTGTATGGTAGAGTTATTATTGAAAGAATTAAGAGTAAGACGGAGAATAGGATAGCAGATGAACAAGGAGGCTTTAGGAAAGGTAGGGGGTGTGTGGACCAGGTGTTTACAGTGAAACATATAAGTGAACAGTATTTAGATAAGGCTAAAGAAGTCTTTGTGGCATTTATGGATTTGGAAAAGGCATGACAGGGTGGATAGGGGGGCAATGTGGCAGATGTTGCAGGTGTATGGGTAAGGAGTAGGTTACTGAAAGCAGTGAAGAGTTTTTATGAGGATAGTGAGGCTCAAGTTAGAGTATGTAGGAAAGAGGGAAATTATTTCCCAGTAAAAGTAGGCCTTAGACAAGGATGTGTGATGTCACCGTGGTTGTTTAATATATTTATAGATGGGGTTGTAAGAGAAGTAAATGCGAGGGTCTTGGCAAGAGGCGTGGAGTTAAAAGATAAAGAATCACACATAAAGTGGGAGTTGTCACAGTTGCTCTTTGCTGATGACACTGTGCTCTTGGGAGATTCTGAAGAGAAGTTGCAGAGATTGGTGGATGAATTTTGGTAGGATGAATTTGCGTGAGCATGTTTGATAGGAGTGAATGGAGACAAATGGTTTTTAATACTTGACGTGCTGTTGGAGTGTGAGCAAAGTAACATTTATGAAGGGATTCAGGGAAACCGGCAGGCCGGACTTGAGTCCTGGAGATGGGAAGTACAGTGCCTGCACTCTGAAGGAGGGGTGTTAATGTTGCAGTTTAAAAACTGTAGTGTAAAGCACTCTTCTGGCAAGACAGTGATGGAGTGAATGATGGTGAAAGTTTTTCTTTTTCGGGCCACCCTGCCTTGGTGGGAATCGGTCAGTGTGATAATAATAAAAAAAAAATATTGGGAGAGTGTATTAGGCAAACTTAGGACTAACTTAAGATTTATTTGGCAAATCTGTACAGTAGGGCTCCGCTTTACGGCGTTTCACTTCATGGTGTTCTGCTAATACGGTCATTTCAGATTATGACCAAAAAACTCTATACAGCTCCTCCCACCTGACTTTCTAATACGGTCACTGCGCCCCACCTGGTTTGTTTACATTCTATGTGAGATCGGTAAGCACTGTGTCTCTCCATTGTCTGGAAACTCTAAAATTTCAAGTGTTTTAAAAGTTATTTCATATTTTATGTATACTCTGATAATTATTCTTATGCATACCTGTATCTAAATAAACTTACACACTGTGCTGGCATGCAGGTACACATTAAAATCATTAAGTGTCTTATGTCTTGAGGCACCATATTATTAATGATAATAATAATCACTGAGTCTCATTAAATGTCGTATATTAAGTTAATATACGTATTTTCATTAATCCATCTATGATATTTTTTCAAAATTATATAATAAACACGATTCATAACATATAAAGATGATAAATACACCCCACAGTAAAATAAATAAACATAAATATGAGATGTGGTAGCTAGACGACTTGTACGAGTGACGGCAAGAATAATGTTTTTTCTAGTCCAACATAAAAGAAAATGTGTTACTGGGGGTAACTGAAGAAAATTGTTCCTTTTTATGTAAGTTTATTCAGGTATACACAAATACAGTTACATAGATTATCATACATAGCAGCATATATGTAAAGTACCTAGGATAACCCAAAAAAGTCAGACAGAGTGACTTATTTCCATTGTCTTCACTCAAGCGACATTTCTTCTAAAAATGGTGTTACATGAGAATGGAAGTGTTCCTCTTTATTTATTCTACCATATCAATGTAGAGGCAACTTGTACACAATGTAACTTGTACACAAACCAGACGTGTACACCTGGTTTATTTACAAAACTTGCATTCGCCTGGTTTGTTTGTATACAAAACTTGCGTTTGCCTGGTTTGTTTACAAAACTTGCGTTTCGCCTGGTTTGTTTACAAAACTTGCGTTCGCCTGGTTTGTTTACAAAACTTGCATTCACCTAGTTTGTTTACAAAACTTGCATTTGCCTGGTTTATTTACAAAACTCTGTGCCTCTCCTCCCTCACATGCTCATTCTCTCTCTCTCATTTATTTGTTTTATCTCGTTTACTCACCCCTGACCCTACATTAAGAATACAAATATTTTAAGGTAAGTAATGAGCGAACTGTATGTGCATTTTATCGCCCTGGGACGCTTAAATGTCATAGAATATTATGTGTAGGTGGGGTGGCCTGGTATGGTAGCCTGGCTGACTACCATACATACCACACCTGATTTCTTACAATAAATACTACTTGTCTCACCCTAGACTAAGACTACAAATATTTTAAGGTAAGTAATGAGTGTACTATATGTGTATTTTACTTTTTTATTGTTTTTAATGCCTAGTTCTATTGCTAACTTAATATATGTTAGTGTAAACTTGTTATTTAGTATTTGTATGCATTTATAAGTGGAAAAAAGGGGTGTTCCACTTTACGTCAATTTCCGCTTTACGGCGGTAGTCTGGAACCTAACATGCCATATAAGTGAAGCCCTACTGTATTTGGAATTTTACATTTACAGTCATTTAGGTGAGGGGTTTGGGATATTGACTGTCTGGAGTGACCTCTAAACTGTCATATCTGGGCACCTCTGCAAAGACAGTGATTGTGTTAATGATGGTGAAAGTGTTTCGTTTTTGGGTCACCCTCCCTTGGTGGGAGACGGCCAGAGTGTTGAAAAAAAAATTATTGCAGGTTTTCAGCTAGTAAATACAGATTATTTTAAAATATTATTGCTTGTGTAATTAGTATGAACTTAGAAATGTCACCAAAATTGATCCTAAATTAAAAATTGCATTCTAAGGACTTCTTGTGTGCTTCCTAGAAAGAACTGACATTTTTTTAACGAGTGTGTTGAGATAATACAGTATATCTTATTGAAGAATTCTTGTTATATATGGTTTGCTACAGCTAATGTGTAAATACACAAAGAGTAATTACACAAACTAATTTATAATGGAATTTGTTGCAAAGTAATTAGGTGTACTAAATGTTGAGGTTGTACCCACAGAGACCGTTTTAGGAGCCCTGGCGAGAGTGTTGCGTGAAGACTGGAAGAAGAGTCTGGACCTGAGTTATAACATCGTCTACACCTTCTTCTGCTTCTCTGTCTTCTCAAACTTCCACACTGTCATCTCTCACTTCAAGGTGAGTGTTCCACACTGTCATCTCTTTCTTTAAGGTGAGTGTTCCACACTGTCATCTCTCACTTCAAGATCAGTATTTCACACTTCCTCTCAAGAGTATACATGTATGCATATCACTCCTCTTCATAACACTCATGATATTAAACTGTTTTAAGGTGAGTGTTTCAGACTTACTCAAAGAGTGGGCAAGATCAGAACCCATGACAAGTCTGTCCTAAAACTAGAAGGCCAGTGGCTTGAATCTTGCTTCTCTAATGTGTTACTATTTCTGCTTCAAACTTACTCTGAAGAATAATGCAAAACCTATGTGGAAACAAATAAAACAGCAAATAAGAAGGGTTGTGTATCTCAATTTCTGAGACCCTCTTCAGTAGATGGAGTAGAAGGTTTACTTATGGTCTCTATGTTGGTTTGGTGTTTACATTCAACTTCAAGTTTATTTCCATATAATACATTGTTTATATAGAAATGGGTGACACTTGAATGCATGCATTCACTTCTCTTACAACCCCATCTATAAATAAATTGAACAACCATAGTGACATCACACATCCTTGTCTGAGGCCTACTTTTACTGGGAAATAATCTCCCTCTATCCTACATACTCTAATCTGAGCCTCACTATCCTCATAAAAATTCTTCACTGCTTTCAATAACCTACCTCCTATACCATACATTTGCAACATCTACCATACTGCCACCCTATCCACCCTGTCATATGCCTTTTCCAAATCCATAAATGCCACAAAAGCCTCTTTACCCTTATCTAAATACTGTTCACTTGTATGTTTCACTGTAAACACTTGGTCTATATACCCCCTACCCTTCCTAAAGCCTCCTTGTTCATCTGCGATCCTGCTCTCCATCTTACTCTTAATTCTTTCATTAATAACTCTACCATATACTTTACCACATATACTCAACAGACTTCTTTCTTCTTCTTTCAATGCACCGTCCGCATCCCACCGAAGCAGGGTGACCTAAAAAGAAAAACACAAGTTTTTCTTTTTAAATTTAGTAATTTATGCAAGAGAAGGGTTACTAGCCCCTTGCCCCCGGCATTTTAGTCGCCTCTTACAACACGCATGGCTTACGGAGGAAGAATTCTGTTCCACTTCCCCATGGAGATAAGAGGAAATAAACAAAAACAAGAACTAGAAAGAAAATAGCAGAAAACCCAGAGGAAATAAACAAGAACTAGAAAGAAAATAGCAGAAAACCCAGAGGAGTGTGTATTATATATATGCCTGTATACATGTATGTGTAGTGTGACCTAAGTGTAAGTAGAAGTAGCAAGACGTACCTGAAATCTTGCATGTTTATGAGACAGAAAAAATGACGCCAGTAATCCTACCACCATGTAAAACAATTACAGGCTTTCATTTTGCACTCACTTGGCAGGACGGTAGGACCTCCCTGGGCGGTTGCTGTCTACCAGCCTACTACCTAGGACCTGAATAAACTTTTCTTCTTTCAACATACCAGCCGTATCCCACTGAGGTGGGGTGACCCAAAAGAAAAAAGTAAATTTTCTCCTTTTAAATTTAGTAATATACACAGGAGAAGGGGTTACTAGCCCCTTGCTCCTGGCATTTTAGTCGCCTCTTACAACACGCATGGCTTACGGAGGAAGAATTCTGTTCCACTTCCCCATGGAGATAAGAGGAAATAAACAAGAATAAGAACTAGAATGAAAATAGTGTAGTGTGACCTAAGTGTAAGTAGAAGTAGCAAAACATACCTGAAATCTTGCATGTTCATGAGACAGAAAAAAGGACACCAGCAATCCTACCATCATGTAAAACAATTACAGGCTTTTGTTTTACACTCACTTGGCAGGACGGTAGTACCTCCCTGGGCGGTTGCTGTCTACCAACCTACTACCTAAGACCTGAATAAACTTACATTTATTAAATAAAAGCACCAACCCCTCCAGAACTATATCCCCACCTGCTTTTAACATTTCTATCTTTATCCCATCAATCTCAGCTGCCTTACCCACTTTCATTCTACCCTCTTCCTCATAAACTTTCCCCACACTCACAAGTTGCTCCTCCTCACTCCTTCAAGATGTTATTCCTCCTTACCCTATACTACACGTAATCACAGCTTCTCTATCTTTATCAGCGTTTAACAATTCCTCAAAATATTCCCTCCATCTTCCTGATACCTCTAACTCTTCATTTAATAGCTCTAAAGAAATAACTCTAAACAAATGACTCTAAACAAATAAATACAAAAAGGCTAAACAGCATATGGCTCACAAATGGCTTATATTAATTGAGAAGACAAATGACAGTGAAAAGAAGTATAGTATTACCTAGGCTTTATCTCGTAGGAAATTTATGTACCTTCTCTGAGTAAATTTATGGTGCAACTTGTCAAAATGGTGAAAGTACGTCAGTAACTCCTCAGCGCTCTGACCTGTATTTACGACCTCGTACTCTCCTCTAATTACTACGATGAATTTTTTGCACAGTATTCACATTGGTCTCAAACATAACATTTCCACTGTCTTGCTGCTACAGCTCGTGGCATATTTGTCTGAACTTTAACAGAAACCCAACGCAAATAAAATGATCAAAAATGTGTAATAACCCACTAGATAACGTAAACAATTGTAATGAATTACAAAACTGAAAATGTTGTGTGTTTGTGTTTTAACTAGTTCATTCATATTTACACCATATGTCTCCCAGACAACAATCTTTTATTGTAATTTCAAAAACTATTGTTTCATTCAAACTTTTTTAACCTGTCATTTACAATTTTAATTTTAATAATCTTGTAATTTATATTTTGACTTGTTATTTTTTACATGCAGTTGATATCATGTATGAGAGCCAGAAGTGATATCTTGTATGAGAGCCAGAAGTGATATCTTGTATGAGAGCCAGAAGTGATATCATGTATGAGAGCCAGAAGTGATATCTTGTATGAGAGCCAGAAGTGATATCTTGTATGAGAGCCAGAAGTGATATCATGTATGAGAGCCAGAAGTGATATCATGTATGAGAGCCAGAAGTGATATCTTGTATGAGAGCCAGAAGTGATATCATGTATGAGAGCCAGAAGTGATATCTTGTATGAGAGCCAGAAGTGATATCTTGTATGAGAGCCAGAAGTGATATCTTGTATGAGAGCCAGAAGTGATATCTTGTATGAGAGCCAGAAGTGATATCATGTATGAGAGCCAGAAGTGATATCTTGTATGAGAGCCAGAAGTGATATCTTGTATGAGAGCCAGAAGTGATATCTTGTATGAGAGCCAGAAGTGATATCTTGTATGAGAGCCAGAAGTGATATCTTGTATGAGAGCCAGAAGTGATATCTTGTATGAGAGCCAGAAGTGATATCTTGTATGAGAGCCAGAAGTGTATCTTGTATGAGAGCCAGAAGTGATATCTTGTATGAGAGCCAGAAGTGATATCTTGTATGAGAGCCAGAAGTGATATCTTGTATGAGAGCCAGAAGTGATATCTTGTATGAGAGCCAGAAGTGATATCTTGTATGAGAGCCAGAAGTGATATCTTGTATGAGAGCCAGAAGTGATATCTTGTATGAGAGCCAGAAGTGATATCTTGTATGAGAGCCAGAAGTGATATCATGTATGAGAGCCAGAAGTATTAATTTCACAAGTATGTAGTCTTTCTAGTATTAAGTAATTTAACTGAAAATTACTTATTGCTGGTTTTTCTTTTATGTAATTTCTCCAGTACTTAGTGGACTGTGCAATTAGGCAAGTTATATTTTGTGCAAATGGAGCAAAAGCTAATTTATGATAAACATAACCCAATTAACTCAACTTCATCTATCCTAAAACTTAACTTCTAATCTAGGTTAAGTTGAGTTATGTTTGATTCTCTCTTTTTCTTGGGAGTTACCAAGCAAAATCTTTTTTGCTTGGTAACACCAGACACAAACATCTCTATGACATTCCCCGTGTCCGACTAAACCTTTACAAAAATTCAATGTATGTCAAAGGCCCTAAAATCTGGAACACTCTACCTGAAAATTCTAAAACTGCAGACATATTCATCACCTTCAAAGCTACCATCAGAAAACATCTTATCTCCCTGATACACCCCGTCAACTAATTACATGAATACCACCTGGTGGTTCACACTTACACTCACTCACCCATTTGACCATAAACAGAAATATCAATCTCAATCTCAAAATAATGAATCTTAACTAGTCATAAGTTGGCCTGTGATACTCCAATACTGAAACTATGTATTGTGCCAAAACAAAAGCATTCACATTGCTAAACTCACAAACTAGTATTTAGTCACTTAGCCATAATACCAACTTACCTCATAATTTTGTAATATTTTAAAGTTAAGAATTAAACTAAGTCTGCCCGAAATGCCTAGCCATGCTAGGTGTTCTAGTGGTGCACTCGTAATTATTATTTTACTACATGTAAACCACACAATAACCAAATTCTGTAAACTCAGCATTGTAATCCTTATAGAGAATAAACTTTGAATTTGAATTTGAATTTATACAAATAATACTAAAAACACGAAATAGTTTACAGCGAAGTTTTAGCAGGTCACGTTTGTGTGGTAGAATGCTGAGCTTTGTTTACATAAGGAACTGTTCGTGTACCGAGCTTTCACTGTACCTAGTATCCCATGTGTTTATGAGATAAAAAATAGACACCAGCAATCCTACCATCATGTAAAGCAATTACAGGCTTCCGTTTCATGCTCGCTAAAGCAATTATTTACCAGTAATTTTAGTCTTTGTCTAAATTTGCCCAAAATGTTGTGCATACTATGTGTGTTTTAAATTATTATACTGTACTTGTGTATAATGTTTTTGAATGTACAGGATATGTATTTATTTTTTAGAAATCTTGCTATACAAGACTGTGTAATAAGAGGGTCTCTTGCAGTACTGTCATCCATTAAGTTCTTCAGAAACTTTGTTGTATGTTATATTTTCCTTTTTGAAAGTTGGTAGTGAAGTAAGTTGGCTGACATTATTTACATTTTCTTAGATCGGGTCGCTGTGCATGGACATTATTGATGGGGAGTTGCAACGGACAGATCAGTACCGTGAACAATTGACCAAGAGGAAGAAAGGTGGAGAATTGGCTATTGATCCAGCCAAGCTGCAGCAGGACTATGAACGCAACCTTAAAAAGTACCAGACTGTTGTGGAGAAGCAAGATCAGGTAAGTTATTGTTAGTCTGCCAGCCAGTCCTCTTTATCACAGACATATTTTGCTCTTGTAAAGACAGTTAAATAGGAGCCTGATGAAGGTGCCTTAATCAGTGAAATCTGATGTAGTTATGTCTACTTCATTCACTGGCTGCTTGCTTTTCTTTGCACAACAGAAATTTTTATTACCTTTATCATATATGTATTGGTATTTTTTCATTGTTGTATATTATACTTGGTTATTTTTATGGATAAGGGACAGTCTAATCTATCCAAGAAGTTTGCTACCAACTGTATGTGTGTGTTAATCGACTGTTGTGGGTAGCATCCTAAGGGGTAAGATTAATAGTTCTCCCATTATGAGACACACTGAGGGCAAATTTTTAGGTCTTCAGCTTGACTGCAACCTTAAATTTCATATCCATCATACAGCCAAGAAGGTCTCCAAAACAGTAGGCATCCTATCTAAGATAAGGTACTCTATACTCCAAATGGCACTACTTACACCGTACCAATCTCTAATCTTCCCTTAACTCATCTGTGGTATTTGTGCTCGGGGATCTACTATGACTTAGCACCTTAAACCATTAAGCCTTTGGGGGTTTCGGCTGTACTAGTACGGCTTACACCCCAGGGTTTTTGATGTACTAGTACGCCTAAATTCTAGCGCCCTCAAATCTAGTGAGAGAAAGCTGGTAGGCCTACATATGAAAGAATGGGTCTATGTGGTCAGTGTGCGCAGTATAAAAAAAATCCTGCAGCACACAGTGTGTAATGAGAAAAAAAAAACTTTGACCATGTTTTTGGAATAAAACAGCGACTTTGCACTGTATTTTCGTATGGTATTTATTGTTGTATTCTAGTTTTCTTGGTCTCATTGTATAGAATGGAAGACATATTACAGAAATTGAGATGATTTTGACTGGGTTTACAATGGAAAGTACCTTGAAATTGAGCTCAAAGTAGCAGAAATGTTCAATTTTTACCAAAGTTCAAAAGTAAACAAATCATGCCAAGTGTCCAATACACATCAACTGGTGAGTCTAATATTCTTTCACATGTATACATGTATTACTGTTTGCAAAAATGATTTAGGAGTTCTGGTTAGCAGTAATCTGAAACCAAGACAATAGTGCATAAGTGTTTGCAATAAAGCTAGCAGAATTCTTGGCTTCATATCAAAAAGTATAAATAATAGAAGTCCTCAGGTTGTTCTTCAACTCTGTATATCTTTGATTAGGCTTCATATAGATTATGCTGCACAGTTCTGGTCACCGTATTACAGAATGGATGTAAATGCACTGGAAAATGTACAAAGGAGGATGACAAAGTTGATCCCATGTATCAGAAATCTTTCCTATGAGGATAGATTGAGGGCCCTGAATCTGCACTCTCTAGAAAGGCCTAGAATTAGGGGGGATATGATTGAGGTGTATAAATGGAAAACGGGAATTAATACAGGAGATGTATATACTGGGCTAAACATATCTAGCCTAGACAGGACTCGGAGCAGTGGCTTTAAGTTGGAAAAATTCAGATTCAAGAAGGATATAGGAAAGCATTGGTTTGGTAATAGAGTTGTGGGTGAGTGGAACAAACTCCCGAGTACTGTCATAGAAGCTAAGACTTTGTGTAGTTTTAAAAATAGGTTAGATAAATACATAAGTGGGTGTGGGTGGGTGAGTTGAACCTGACTAGCTTGTGCTACTAGGACAGATGCTGTGCTCCTTCCTTAGTGAATGTGACCTAACCTGACTAGGTTAAGGCATTGGCTTAAGCGGTGGGAGAATTGGACCCGCATCGCATGGGCCAGTAGGCCTGCTGCAGTGTTTCTTCTTTCTTATGTTCTTATATAACTTTATTGACCAGGTGCTACGAGTGTGCACATACCTTCTCTTAAACATTGCTGAAGATGTGCGCGTTGAGGAGAAGATGCGCAGGAAGAACATAGTTGGTCTTCTCGTGCGCATGCTGGAGCGCGACTCCACAGATCTGCTCTTATTGGTCGTCTCGTTCCTTAAAAAACTCTCCGTCTATATGGAAAATAAAGATGACATGGTAAATTACCATTTTAACTTCATTGGCTCTCTTAGTTATAGTTGATGCTTTACTAATAACACTAAGTGGGTTATTAGTGTATTGTTAAACTTCATTAACATTATGAGGATGATAAGTTTACTCTCTAAGTATTATTACAGTTTTTCATTATTTTTTGCTTTATTTTCTCATAATACTATATCTTTCTTTCAACACACCGGCCGTATCCCACCGAGGCGGGGTGGCCCAAAAGGAAAAACGAAAGTTTCCTTTTACATTTAGTAATATTTAAAGAAGGGGTTTACCAGCCTTGCTCCCAAATATTAATCTTTGTAAATTATTTGATTTCCTTTACAAATGCTTACATTTATTTATTTATTTATTTATTTATTTAATGTCTTTGCAAACAATACATTGAGATTGTGTACAGGTCTCCCTCAACATTCGCGAGGGTTGGGATCAAGGGGCCTCGCAAATGTTGAAAAACCGTGAATTTTTTGGGTTTCCCCCCCAATATATTGTGGGGAAAAATAAATCAGTACTGTTCCTTAACTTGTTAACCCGTGAACAACCATAAAATACATGAAAACGATAAACGTACAAAAATTTAAAATTTTATGTTTTAAATAAATGTATGTTATTAAATCCCACAGACCCACCATTGCCTCCCCAATCCCTCCCCCCTTTCCCTAAAACCATGCGAGCCCCTAACCCCCCCCAACCCCCCCCAACGGCAGCCAGCCCCCCCCACAATCAGTGTGGTGGGGTTTTTTGTTTGTTCATTTTTTCTTTTAAAACTACAGTTAAAAAAATGAAAAACCCATTCATGACTGTATTGGAAGGGCTATTGGACGGGTATGGACGGTGCATATGTGTTTACCTTTGAACACAGAAAGAATCAACATTTCTGCACTGCAAAATAAAATAGTAAAATAATAATAATAAAATAAAAATAAACGTTTAAAATTGAAGAAGGAAATTGTAAAAAAATACGAGGGATGGTTGACAATGCAGTGTGGTTTGTTTATTTTGGAGTGAACTTTAGTCTCCCGCTTTTCCAAACATTTCACAATAATTCAGCAGTTGAGGCAGTGGTATTTAATAACAAAATTTTATAAAAAATAATAGTAATATTATTAAAAAATGTTTTATTTTATTAAAAACATGTATGTTTTTTAAATACCAGCCTCAACCGCTCCCTCAACAGTGCTCAATCACTGCTTCAAACAGTGCCTCAACAGCTCCCCTCAACAGCCCCTCCTCAACGCTCCCCCTCAAAAGTCCTCAACCACCCCTAAACCCGGCCTAAAACCTGCCCACCACTGCCTCAATGTTTCCTAACAGTTTGCCTCAATCCCTGCCTCACCCACTGCCCAATCGCTGCCTCAACATGCCTCACCTGCCTCCCCCCAACCCCCCCCCCCCCCCTGCCCTGCTCTCAACAGTGTTCACCCCGCCTCAATCGTGCCCAACAGTGCCTCAATCGCTGCCTAATCGTGCTCAACAGCCCCTCACCCCTGTCTCAATTGCTCCCTCAACGCTGCCTCACCCACTCCTCATCGCTCCCTAAACCACTCCCCAAATCGCTGCCTCAACAGCTCCTCCCCCCTGCCTCATCGCTGCCTAAACAGCTCCCTCAACCATGCCTAATCGCTGCCCAACAGCAGCCTCAACAGCCCCTACCCCTGCCTCAATCGCTCCCCAAACCACCCCTCAATGCTGCCCAACACTCCCTCAATCGCTGCCTAACAGCTGCCTCAAAGCTGCCTAAAATCGCTGCCTCAATGCGAATTTTTGGGGAAATTTTGGAAGAGCAGGGGGACAAATGCTCACTCCAGCAAAACAAACCCACATGACGAGTGTCAACCATCCCCTTTTTTTTGTACAATTTCCCTTAAATTTATATCGTATTTTTTATTTTATTATTTTTTATTATTATTTTACTATTGTTATTATTAGCAGTAGCAAAAAAATGTTTATTCTTTGCGGTTCAAGAGTAAACAATATGTCACCGCCCAAATACCTGTCCAAATAGCCTTCCAATATGCAGTCTGAATGGGTTTACATTATTTATAGTAGTTTAATAGCAAATAATGAACAAACAGAACCCTCACCCACTGGTGGTGGGAGGGCTGGCTGCTGTTGCGGGGGTTTGGGGGAGGGGGAGTAGGGGCTCGCAGGGGCGGGGGGGAAATTGAAATGATTTGGGGGGCTGGGGAAATTTTTTGGTGGGGAAATTTGGCGGTTGGAATTCGCGAATGTGTGAAGCCCGCGAAAGCTGAAAACGTGAATGTTGAGGGAGCTGTAATTTCAATAGTGGGGTTTTTAACAAAGAGAACCCCTATTACCTTGGCATTATGGGCCCCCCTTAACTTTTTTGGTTACAGTCTATTAACATAAGGATTTACTTATTGTACATAGGAGTAATTTTTCATAGTTGACAGTAAAATTTAATTTTTAAAAGAATCAAAATTTGTATAAAACAAAAATATACGTATTATATTCTAAAATGCTTTTTTGAAAAAAAATGATTCAATTATATTCCTGTCAACAATGGATAAAAAGGGCAATGTATTGTTTTTAGTTTTAATAAAGATTTTAAATTTTTTCTCGTAAAGTTAATAAAAAAGCTAAATGTTGATATTTAAAATAAAGTTATGGTTTTAAAAAAATAATTTTTTTTCATTTTTTTGAATGTAAGTATTTTATTATTCTTAATACTTTTTATTATAATTATGGTTTCCTTTATATAAGAAAACATTAAACCTGTGAGGTTTGACACAACATATTTTCTTATAAGAAAACAAAGCAGTGTGCAAATTTGACAAAACATTTATACAGTAGGGCCAAAACTTACCCTTGTACCAAAAATTTTTCAGTTTCAAAAAACCCCTAAAACCCGGGCCCCATAAATCAGGGGTTACTGTACTTTATTACATAAAATTTTTAGTACAAAATTGGGTTCTATTTTAAAATTTTGCATAAAAAATTTCAGGTTTGTTTTCCCCTGAATTTTTTTTTTGAAGTACAAATTTTTGGGCCCCGTTTATTTTTTAACTATATATGCACTGCCAAGGTGATCTGACAATATTTGTAAATCACTGTTTTTTGACTGCCTTTTAAAGTTATTTTTGTAAATTCACTATTCAGGCGATTCCAACATTTTTCTCAAAATGCATTGCCCCTGGCTGTTCTAAAATTATTTTTTTCAAATGCATTGTCACCAGGCTGTTTTTAGCATTATTTTGCAATACACTTCCTCAGGTGATCTGACATTATCTTTTTTTATGCATGCTTCTGGCTGATCTGAAAATCGTGGAGAAGTGAGTCGCCGGGAGCACTAACAACAGCACTTTGGGGAATGTGAGGTGGGGTTTCGCTGAACTTGTCATTCGTGTGGATGAGGGCAAGTTTTAAAGTGGGTTCCTGCCCAAGTTGGTTGCTTTTATCTGTAGTACCCTACTGCCTTCATGAGATGGAAGGTTTTTTTTTCAGGGATACCCCGCTAATGTGGCGCTCCGTTAGGGTGCTTTTCCCAATTATGGCCCTTGTTAGTTATATTCCATTTATATTTTGGGGAACAGCTGTTTTTTGCCAAAACGAGTGAGTTGAAGTCTCAGGAAAGAAGCCCACTATGCATTCAGCCTTCCCCCTTTAGTAATTACCCCCTTTAAAAAAGGTTATTTACTTAACCCTTTCAGGTCCCGGCCCAAATCTGGAGTCACGCCGTGCCAAGAAATTTTCAAAAAAAAATTTGTTATTTTTTCTTATGAAATCGTAGGAATCTTTTTGTGAAAGGGAATAAAACAAAAAATACGAAATTTGGTGGAAAATTGACGAAAAATTATGCTCTCGCGAATTTGATGTGTCAGCTGTTTATTTCGAATCGGCGATTTTGCCGACCTGTGACTTCCCAATTTAGGCAATTACATTATTCCAATCAACCAAATTTTAGCTTTTCACTAGTATACTTCTATTCTATCGATTGGAGCACAAGAATCGCCAAGGTCAAACTGTTTCAGGCTACAAATAAAGTGATGGAAATCCTGTTAATAATTTGGCCAAATTTAACACCAAAGTTCAAATATTCCATTTCAAAATTAGGCTCCAGAATGAACATGTAGGCATTCCTGGCACTAAACTAACATTTCCTCCTGTTCATTAGGTCTGTTTTGAGGCTTACAAATAATTCCATTTTGATTTTTTTATTCACATAATGATTTTTATTCAACACCAAAAAATAGAAGGATTACTCTTATGTTTTTTTACAATACTGTAATAATTGTATAAATTATCATCACCGTATTTGTTGAATGTATATTAGACCCACCAGCTGACGTGTATTAGATGTGGTGAGGTCGTTTGTTTATCTTGAATATCGGCAAAAATTTAACATTTCTGCTACTTTGAGCTCAGTTTTCAAGCCATTTCCAGTGCTTAAAACAATCAAAATCATCTCTATTTCTGTAATATGTCTTCCATTCTATCAAATGAGACCAAGAAATCGCAAATACAATATAAAAAACTACGAAAAAACACTGCAAAGTTGCTGTTTTAATCGAAAAATCATGAATTATTTTTTTTCTGTCATTATACACAGTGTGCTGACAGGATCTGTTTTATGTGGTGCACCACATACCACATTGATGTATTCTCTCATATCTAGGCCCAAAAAAAATGTTCCACTCACAGTTTATCAGAGTGAGTGAGTCATGGCGTAGAATCTACGGTTTGGACCCTGAACGCAAAGCCGTAGATCTACGGGACGGACCCTGAAAGGGTTAACCCCTAAACTGTCCAAACGTAGATCTACGTTTTTTTTTTACATGCTTTCAAATGGGGAAAATCAAGGTCGCAGCGCTGTGTGTGTAAACGTAGATTTACATTTGGACAGTTTAAGGGTTAATAAATGATAGTGTAAATATGTTTTAAGGCTTTTATATGCACGGGTAAATGAAAAAAAGGCTGTGATCTGCTTGATATTAGTTTCGAACCTAACCTGCCGTATTAGTGAGACATGC